GAACATACTCTAACGCGTTCCTCCGAGTCCTAGAAAGCTCTAAATATTCATGTGTCTATATAACACGGTCCTTCTCCTTGAAGACTAGCTGTTAAATTAATATAAAAGTAACTGAAAATTAAAGTAAAATTAAAGTAAAGTAAAAAATTAAATTAAGTAAAACTTCTTTATTTTTAATCGCATGTTTTCTATTCACTATGTGCTAAGATTACCTCAGTTAACATTGTTTCGTTTAACGCTCTTTCTTGTAAGAACACATCTCAAGCGTTAATTGGGGTGTTCGCGTATTGAAAATGAACATTTGAGAAAGGTAATCCTTAAAGATTAGTTTTACGATTTATAATTGATACATGAATGCAGTATATAGGATGAATGAATTAAACAGTACTGGAAACAAAATTGAAATGAAATTCTGCTTTACATTTTGCGTGGTAACGATTACATATATCTATGAATGATAAAAGCATGCTTAAATTTAATTATTATTGCTCTTTGAAATTTTATTGCCAATTTCTGGAAATTCCATCTAAATATTTTTCAAAATAATGGAGATGTATAAGATTGAATATTTCTAGTCGTATTAATTATTATATTAATTTTATAACTTCGGTAATCGAAGAAACAAAATCTTTTAAAATCACCTAAAGTTGCTCAAAATACCAGGCATCTTTTATTCTTACAAAAACTGTCACGATGAACTTTAGAAAGGTCCTAATAGCAACAAGACATTTAAAACGAAGATAATTTTACATACAAAATTTTAACTAAATCGATTAATTATTTCCAGAGATATTATAAACATCCATTCTGAAAACATTTTGTTATACATTAATATGAAATCGTCAGGGTGTAATATTTTTCAGTACAATATTTAAAGAAAGTGCTTTAAGAGTACTTTCAGATGTACATAATCCTTTAAGAAAATACTACAACCAATACTATTATATTTTATACTTCGCAAATTTAATATATAGATTTGAACATAATAATTCAAATCCCGTTCACTTATGTAGTAATAAAAATTTGTCTATGTGTAATAAAACATATTGTTACATAATATCGTTATGCATAATACGTTGTGTTGTGATAAGGAAATCAATCTATACATTTTACGTGTACACGCCTACTGTTTTATGAGAGAAATGAGATTGGTATTTTATATCATTACCGTAAAATACGATACGAATAAAATTTCCATACTAGAGGTTCCAATCAGCTAAACACACTATCAAAATCGACCCTTTTCAGGAAAATCAAGTTGTATGAAAATCAGGCATTACACGCAGAAAATCTCTATTTGAAGGTACGCATTTGTATAGTAAACTTGGATAATCTATTTAAATAAATTAGATAGACTGTTTAAGCTATTACTTTCCGATGTACGAAAAAATGAATCGTTTATGAATGAAAAACGAAAAATCCTTTTGTATAACACAAATTTACAAAATTTTATATAATGCCCTTATAATATCATCGCAGAGTGTACAAGGGATCATGAGGGACGAGTTACGGGAATAAAAAGCAATACATAATCTGTAGAAGGGAAAGCAATTTTCCACGTCGTGTTGGTGTATCAGTCTTATTAAGTCATTATAATTGTACGTTGAGCGTCACTTTTTTACCGTAAATCGCTGAGGACAGGAACAATAATAAAACCTCATCTCCGGTTCCTGAGAAGAACAATGGCGTAAACAATGTTGAGAGCGCTGTCCGCGTTTCCATTAAGATGATCTGTATTGTTGTTGATCTCAGAAAATATCAGAACGACGACTATGTGCTGTCGCGCACTGGAAGAAGAATATATACGCATTTGCATGTATACCGAAGAGGTGACCCACGTCACCCGCACGTTATTACTCAAGTGTACGACGTGGGGATTGTATACACGTCTTTCGACATCGGCAGGTTGATTGTTCTCTTGCACGGACATTACTTGTAACACATCTTTAGAAAGTGAAAAAGTATATTGACATGTTCGATGATATGATATATAGGGAGGACCACGGAGCGTGATCAGCTTAGATTATTCTATTGTTAGCGGTTCGATCGAAAATTCTGCTTGAAAATCAAACATTACAACAAATATTTTTTTCTGAATCCAAAAGGACTGAAGAAAACTCTTAGTTGAAAGAGTTTTGCAAGATTCTTAAAAATTATTAAAGAGGAATAGCAAGCTACACTATTGTATACTTTCTAGAGCTGTTGACAGATTGATATTAGTGATTATACATTATTGATTTGATCCCTTGCGGACTATTTGTGAACATTTCGTTCTGTACCTTGATACACATTTAATGATATCGAACGTAAAGTGTCAGTAGTGTTTCATGATCTGCGTGTACTGAAGGTGACCTTGATAACTCCGGAAAAAAAGGTTGACAGCAAATTTGGTAGAATCATCTTGCAGCACTCCTTGAATCACGTTATTTTAGTTAACAAAATTTCCGATCGAACTGCTAGCAGTAGAATAATCTAAGCTGATCATGCTTCGTGGTCCACCTTGTATAAACTGTCGAGGAAAGAGGTTCGTCACAGTTTGGTATCGTATTCTGCTATGCCTTAGGAAGAAGAAAGATCTAATAAAGATAGGTCTAAGAACTCTTCCTTTGCAAAATAATTCATTCGAAATGTTAACTACATTTTATATATTTTACATTATTAACGAAGGATAAGTAATTCCCACTTTATCGTCTATTGAATTCTATTTCTTATTCTATTTGTCTGTAACTTGTTCTTGAAGTCTATAAAGTTTAATTTTGGTGAGAAGGTCATATTTGATATCCAATTAAATAATTTAGAAGCTATTTAATAAGCCGTAAAATTGAATGTCGTCATGCAGTGGTGCAATATCACAATTCTTATAATACATCGGTGAATTACCTTTAAACATTTAAAGATCAAAGGAACACTGCGACGAACTATCCATATTGTGTATTACAAGGCTAAATGTTATTCCTAAATTGAATATTTACTATCGTAGGAGTTATTGAATTTCTGAAATGAAACAGCAAATGATATTTATTAACACGAACGCAGTTTTATGAAAGCCAATCTTTTTATTATATCAGATTTAATAGTAATACCATAAGACGCTGAAATTACTTAACGAGTGAAATTGTTTCTGAAAATAATCTCTCTTCAAATGGTATAGTTTATGGAACATTATAATGTAATTCAGCATACGCTTTATATTAATAATATGAAACCAACTATAAAATTATTCATTTACACTAATATTCAATCGTTTTTTCGTTCCAAAAATCCTAGAAAATATGCAGAACGATTTATTTTAATTATAGTGATACACACTAATTTTTTTTTAGCACTAAAACTTAACATTATGATTTATGTAAGAGTGTAAAATTTCAATTTTTTTAATTGAAAATCTAATTTTAATTAATGACACTGTTTAAGTAAATGTCAATTCATTTTTCATGTAATTCAAATTAATGTGTTTATTTATGTATCTATTTATCGTGAATTTTAGGTAATGTATGTAATTTTAATATTGTACAGTTAATAGAACATCTGCAACATATTTATCACATAAAGGTTGAAAACAAGTTTGAATCCTAGTTCTGTATAGAAACGACGATCCATCTTTTATCGCAAACTATGATATGCACCATCATACGTTGTGGCAATGTCGCTCACGAAGTCCAACAGACTACTTACTATATAACAGATTACCTACTTAATACGTTATTGAATTGCGGTGACAAACTGATACGCTGAAATACTATCGACAGTTCTCAAATCATTATGTTCATTTCGAAAATATACTTTTAAATAATCTAACGTTTTTTCCAGTGAGTTTTACATAAATAGTTACAGGACAACTACGGTAATTTTCCCTCCAAATAAACAAATTTATTACTATAGTTAAATTAATGAATTAAAGAATAATATACTTGCCTAAAATAAAAGCATTTATTTTTTAATATAATACCGATTTGAGGGTGGATTTTTTGTATTTATTTACTTTTATTATCTTAAACGTGACTAACAAGTAATGTTACAATTCCTAATGTTACAGTTCAAGAATTATGAAATTTGATTACCCATAAAGAATTATAGTGTTGTTAAAAATAAAATTTTTTTATTATATATCTTGAAAAGTGTCTGTTGTAGAAATGTTAAATTCCAGTGAACTGACATGTCTTGTTTCAATAAATTTAATTTTGAGAATATTTCTAACATTACTCTTCGTATCTTTGTAGACATTTACGAAGAAATCAAATTAATACAGTCGCATATTATGTTGTCCTATCTTTAGTAAGCAAAAAATTCGACATATCATGAAATGTCAACTTGATTTTTTTCTAAACTACACACCATAAAAGTTTCATGAATTGTACTCAGTTAGTTAAAAAAGTTTTGGCGGGCACACATACTATGAGTCTTCGCCAAAAGTTGCTCCGGCTATACAGAAGCCCTTAACTTGTGGGACGTCCTCGACAGGCATTACCGACAATAAGCAAGCAAAATTTAACTTGAGTTTTATTTGAATTCATTATGAACACCTTATTATCATAGTAACATATCAAAACTAGTTTCCTTACATAAAGTGAATATACGTTATAACCAAGGATAATTAAAGATTTATATACTCGCCCAACAGTTTAATATTGAATAATAAATTTCCTAGAACGACGAATAGCATATTCCAGCCACTTTATAATCAGTTCCTTCCTTAACACTTTCTTTGCAGTTCCAAAAGCCAAAACAAAAATAATATTCGTGCAGCGTAGCGTATCAATGTGAATTAGCAAAAAACGTGGCTAAGCTGAACCTTTCTTACCATAGTTTCAGATACTTTCCTTCATTACGTAAAGGTTTTATCCAATTAGATTGGCCGTGAGGTAAAAATAATTTGCCTTGAATTTCGTTCGTCGTGAACTCTTATAGGAGACATTCAGAGGGCAAAAAACGAACCTCAAGTAGGAAGTGCAGGAGGTGATCTCAACTGAATATCTTGTCTCTCAAACTGTACTTGACAGGTGGAGCCAGGGGAACGCCCGTACGAACGCTTTAACTTTGGACACGTCCCGCAAAGATCTCCGGAGATGTCGCCGTTAAACGTTTGTGGGCTGTCATCGCGGTAATTGACTTTCTCTTCTGACAGCCACGATAGAAAATTGTGCTACTTGCATGATTGGATAGACTGCGTTAATTAGCCCACTCTGACTAGATCCTTTGAAATTTGCATTTTTGTAAAAACGGAACATCTCATATATGACGACCATAAATCCTATAGCTATGCGTTATATAGTTGCTCCTCTTATTAGTATTATCTGACGCAACATGCAGCAGTAACACGGTTCAGTTTATTACCTGTGTCACGTTGAATATCATTAAATTCCTTAATGAACAACCGATTAATTATGTATTCCCTTAAAATGCGTGCTATGCAAACTGAACGTAATCTGCATTCTTTATCGATGCTCAGTACATTAAAAAAATTGACCCTCGTATCAGTTAAACGGTGAGGTAATATATGAAAGATTTATTATGTCGCGCATGATTAAAAAGATGAACGCAATCGTGCTGAAGCTATTCATGAGTGAAACGGGTTTTTTTTAATCGCATTCCGCTGCACGCGTGTGTGTATTTACATTCTTCCTCTTTTAACTTGGTTCCCAGAACATAATGATTCTGATAAGCCATTCAGTTTCACGAAGTGAAAATACATTTGAATTCATTTGCATGCAATTTAACTATCTTCATCGTACCTTGTTATTAGTTACGCTAATTAATGAAATAAAGTGCACGTTTGAAACATTTAATATGCACTTATTGTCAGATAATAATAAAAGAAGAGCTTCCATTTATGAAAAATAAAATTATACGTTTATATTTTATACAATACATTAATATTTTTCGTAAGAAATAAATATTGTGTACGGAGAATTTTAATTGAAAATGGCATGTTTTTTGTTTCAGATGGTGCACCGGTACCTGTAGACGCTGTCGAACATGAGGTAAGGAACACGGAACGAAAAACAGATGAATGACTGTGTACTGTTTACTTGACAGTTTGTTACTTCGTTTGATTCCAGAAGTAAGATGCTGAATTATTGTTTGCTGTAGGTCAATTTATAAAATGCATTTATTTTCTGTTTATCATATTAAGGTGAATTTTAAACAATAAATACGAATCTGGTTAATCTCTAGTAGGTATATAATTACAACTTCTTTCACGATCATTTTTTTCTTTATTTTTCGTTTATAAAATCTGTTTCTGTTGTGGAATACATTATGCAATGTTCTCCTATAGATAATTCATTCAGACAAATAAACTGGTAACGTTACGGTTATTGAAGTAATTTTGTAACTTAATTCTATTATAGTTACTGCCATTTTCCTTCAATGAAGTTTAAAGTAGTAAAAGAAAGCCTCTTTCCTTTTATTGCATTGATTAATGTGAATAATATTTTATAATAAGTTTACTTTATGGTAAGTTATCGGAACTACCGCGAGTTAAATTGAACAATTACATGGTTTGCTATTATAGTGTACTACTTTCTTTCACTTTATATATCCTGTGAAAGCAAGAGAAATATAATAAGCTTTTGGAGCTTTTCTTACACAATAAAGACTTTAAGAACTTTTCGTTATTATGATATATAATGAATATATTGCATGAGAAGATACTGTAAAAAAATGAAAACCACCTATTCATTATACATATCTTCTTAGAAATAAATAATTCAGTATTTTCAAAGGTTTTCGACCAGAGTGTTTAAAAACGAAGATAATGCTTGTTTTCTGTTATACTAATAATTTAACGTATAGCATTTAACATATTATAGTTAGTATTTTATGGGCATATCCTTTGCATTAATCACAACGGCATATCGATGTGGCTTGGACCCAATTCCAAAAACGATCTAGCCAGGAACTTTTGAACACCACTATACGTATTATTAATTTCAACTATTAGGATACTAATAGTGTTAAAAACATCACGAAAATAATTTTACAGTCAACATTAATTCATTAAATTTGATTCAAAGTGTAATCTGTACGTTATGAATACTAAAATGGGATAAAGTGTATAAAGAATGATTAGTAATTATTAGTAATTACCACGAAAAGTTCATTTTATTAAACTTCTTTAACATATCTCTATTTTTCAATTAAATTATATGATTTTTTACATTGCACGTAAATTATTAATAAATATTTCATTAATGATCACAGAAAAATATTAATATAGAGAATATTTAATAATTTAATTAAAAATAGTCTAAACTGAAAGATGTAGCCAATGCGTAAAAATTATTCCATTACTTCAATGAAATAGTGTACGTTGAAGTTGTATAGAATTTACTTTTTAGTGAAAATTGATTTTAATAAATGGTATTAAATCTATACAAATTTTGTACAGTTTGTCTAAACAGATGGAACTTGAAGGAATCGCGGGTGTTTCGTTCATTGACTCCTTTCAGTCATTTTATTTAAAGAGGTGTTCATTATAAACGAAGATAATGACATCGATTAAAAACATGCTCATTAACTCTTTATGTAACGCGCCAGTCACGGTTTAGGTTATTATCGCGTAATAGTTTCCTGTCAAAGTAAGGTAAGAGTAGAGCCTCGACTTTATATCTTACTACACTGAATTGAACATTGATATTAAAGGAATCGCTTTAAAAATAATGAAACATCTTGTAACGCAGTGTTTCTACCAGTATAATCCATACTATCCAATGATAATTAAGAACGATAAAATAAAGAGGTCAAGAGTTGACTGTCGTTACGAATAAACTCGGTGAGAAATATAATGCGATTGATGCAACGTTTATCATTTGCTACTTAGAAAATATTTAAATGATTCCACAATTATATTTTGTTAATAGAATCGTTTTAATTAAAATATAATTGTATAGACACACAATTGACATTTTAACCTAAATCGTGTAATTACAGTCAAGTGAGTGTACAGCTTGTTTAACAAATATGAAAGTGTTCAAAATATAGATAGACTTTTCTGAAACAAGTTCAAATTGAAGTCATTTACTGTTTAGGAAGTTAAATTTTTGTTTCTGATACATTAACAGTTAAAAATTGAATATTCAACTTCTAACAGGATGCTTAAGGAAAAGGTTCATGTTGAGAATATCGCACTCTCTTTTGTAGCTCGTAAGTGTACGTGTTATTACTCATCGAGCATTTACCTGGCTAAACTACACGTTACCTACCACGGACATGAAACTTTTAATTCCCAATTCCCAATCATACATCCAATGGATAAAAAGAAAAAGATAAAAACTTAGCATAATATAAGTCCAAAAATATGGACAATTCGTTTATTTATCTTTTTTAATTTCATAAATATTCATTGCTTGTGATAAAAATGAATGTTGTTTACAAATGACACTTCACTAATAATGGAAAACAATCATGTTAGTAGTTGGACATCAGTTAAAAATTTGTCATTAAATGCGAAGCATTATTGTGTTTGCTGGTGCGTTAAATTTGCTGAAAAATGAGTTAAATAGTCAAATTTCTTAATATAGATAGGCCTAAAAATTTCATTTTTTCATGATTTATCATTCAACACATTTCTTTTTCACTATTCAAAAGCAAGTTGCTGCAAATCTATCTTCTTCTTAGAACAGTTATTATTTTTCTTTCGGAATACATGTGTTCTTTTATTTATGTTCCTATATTTTTATTTTATGGCAACAATTACAAAAATGATGATAATAATGGAAAAAATGTTTGTCCACTGCATTGTGTTCACGAACAATGTAGTGGTTCCGATGTGTTATTCATGTATCCACTGTATAAAAGAAAACAAGGAAACAATTAACATAATATAAGTTCAAAAAGCTAAAAAATTTGTTTATTTACCCTTTTAATTTTATAAATATTTATTTCCCGTGATAAAAATGAGGTTTGTTTAGAAATTACCCAGGTGTTCCATATTAGAAGACATTGTCACCAGACATTTTACTGTGGCTTGAAGACATTTAAATTTTTGCAATTTTATCAATGAGTGTACGAATGTTTAATTGTTCTCTTCGTGTTTTGATGCAGGTTTCAATAAAAAAAGGCATATCTCTCGTTTTGGCAAGTTTTTCATTCAGGTGTTCCATATGAGGTGCCGTTACACTGTGTATGTGATTTTAATCATTTCCATTACTGCCTATTTTCCACACACACTGGTAACATACCGTCCTTTTAACGATGCCTATGGCCATTATAATTATCTTTAAGCACGTCGAATATGGAAGAAGTTTATGAGCGCACTCCAGGACAGGCCTATTATATTAGATAATACTGTTAATCTTCATGCGCAAATAAAATTATAAAATTACTATCATTACCTAACAACCAATTATCGGTTATTAGCAAAATGTTTATTTGATTAGATTTAGTTAAAGCTTTTGTTTTATCGTATTCTACGGAATCATAAGTACAGTAAATATGTACATTTATATCTGCAGTTCACCTTTTAAGTTTTATATTATTTTATAGCGTACACTTTATATATAAGCTTAGAAATAATGTGAAACATAATATGTAAATTATTCTATAATAATTATATATATATTAGAAATCGTATAAAGTAGGTAAACACATTGTATTGAATATATCCAAGTAAGGTATTTTATGTAAACAAAAGGAAATAAGAAACATAAAACAAAATTTTGTTCAACTAAGACCCTCGTTTTTTGGAAAAGTGCAATTTCATGCTTTTCAATTGGTTTTGTCTAATTCCTTATAGTCTAATTTAAAAAATTTAATTATTTTTATTACACTTTTTGCTTTTTTTACATAATTATATCCTTCTCAATTTGTCCATCAATTACTAAACAGCGGAGATAACTTCATTTGACATTCCGATTGCTAGAAAAACGTAATTTCGAAAACAAAACGTTTTGCAAAACTAAACTAAGGTACAACTAATATGCTTAGAAGACTAAAGGAAAGTGAAAGTTA